GAGGCAGGAGAATCACTTCAACCCAGGAGGTAGAGGTTGCAGTGAGCCAAGATTGTACCATTGCACTCCAGCCTGAGCGACAGAGCGAGACTCTGTCTCCAAAAAAAACGTAAAAGCGGCTTGTTTGGAAGTGTGGGGGATGGGGGTCCTGAGTTCTGCTCTCTTGCCCCATTGTTTTTCCTCTGCAGAACCCTAGGACCTTGAGGACACCATTTGAAAACTATTCATAGAGAACATGGCATCCTAGAATGAGAAATCCGCATCTGGTACTATCAGCCAGGGTTCCTAGCTTTCAGCAGAGAGGAAACTTATTAAAAACATATAGGACAGCATAGCTCACCCCACCCCTGAGAGGGAGAGATGACAAACTTGGAGGTAGGAAGAACGGCCTGGATTCACAATGCAGTGAAGATACTGCTGCTGCCGGACACAGCAACCCTGGCTTATATCACTAGACATGGGACCTGGCTGGGGGGCTTGTACCAGGGAGCCTGGACACGGGACCCTGCTGCTGGGGCTATGGCTGCGGGGCTTCTGGAGGGTCTGTGTTGCTGAGACTCCAACTGCTGCCCCCCAGCCACTGGAATGGAGCCTGCCCCAATTTCTGATTCATTTTGAGGCAGGAGTGTCTCACTGGAAGATCTTGCACCACGGGCCTGTACCTTAGCTTTAAGGAAGGCTGTGGAAGGGCATACATGGTATTTTCGTTTCTGTAATTTGAAGTAGCTCTACCTAATAAGACCAAAAATTCTCCAAAAGGAGAAGGAGGTTCAGATGCTAAGGGAGGAGGAAATAATGACAAATGCTTACTATAGGAACTCTGGCAAATTGCTTTTTCTCTGAGCATTGTTCCTCTAGGAAAAATAATGGCCCTTCTAAGTCATCCATCCATCCATCCACCCATCCACCCATCCACCCATCCATTTATCCATCCATAGCAAACATCTAGTAAGAGCTGTTCTAGCTATCTATTGTTGCATAAAAAATGACCCCAGCTTAGTGGCTGAAACAATCATTTCGAGGTATCTCATGACTTTTGTTGATAAGAAACTCACACAGGACTCAGCTGGCTGATTCTGCTCCCTGTGGAGTCAGTTGGAGTCCTTTGAGATATTTAAATAGCAGCTGATCTGATCTGGACTGGTCAAAATGGCTTTGCTGACTTATCTGATCCCTTGACGAGGAAGGCTGGAAGGCTGGACTCTGCTGGGCTCCACTCCCTCTCCATGTCGTCTTAGGCCTTTCCACAGGGACTCATCAGCAGGGTAGCTGGGCTTCTTACATGAAAGCTCAGGGCTCCAAGAGACCAACTTTGCCTTAAGGCTAGGCTCAGAGGTGTCATAATGTCACTTCCACCATACTCAGTTGGTCAAAATAGTCACAGGCCCAGAATCAAAAGGGGAAATAAAATACATAGACATCACCTCTGGATGGGAGGCATCAGTGAATTTGCAGTAAGAGCCTTTACTCCATTGTAAGAACCCACCATGTGCCAGACATAGTGTTAAGAGGGGGAGATACAAAACCAAGACATGGCCCTGTCTTCAAGGAGCTTGCAGTCATTCAAGGTTACAAATGAAGGCAGTTAATGAGATCAATGTCAAGAAGCATTGTAAATTGTAAAACAATTTTAATATAAAGGATTGCTTTATCTCTGAGCTTTATTCCTAAATAATACTAAAACTAGGATCTAACAAACCCCTCTAATGCTCTCAAGTATCAGTTACTATTTGTTGACTGTTCACCAAGAATCAGACACTCAGCTAAGAATTCTTTTGGTATAATTGTTCCCAATTCTCAAACCAATCCCACTGCAGCAATTTCTATGTGCCAAAGCCTTGCCCATGCTTCTTGTTTGATGACATGATATCTTGGGTTTGGTCTTATATCAGCACCCACCACTCTACCCATTGATGCCACTTAATAGAGGCTTCTGGAGATGCCCACGCAGGCCTCTAGCCACTTAAGGAGAGATTTTCAATTTACAGTGATCCAACCAACCACTCGTTAGATGCTCTGATCTGTTCCTCTCACAATTATTACTTTAATTTGCTGCCCTCTCTCGGGCCATGAGGCGACCAGCTTGCAGGCTGCAAGGCAGACAGAGTTAAAGACATATATAAAAGTGCTTATGCTCTATTAACAAAACTTACTAAATTCCTGCTGTGTTTGGGGAACTAGACCACACAGCACTGTGAGCCAACACAGTTCCTGCCGCAGAGAATAGTCACGCAGACAAGATTGTAAAACTTTTCATTAGTTTTACCTGATTGATAAAATTAAAATGCAGAAAATCAGAAAAGTAAAAAACGAAAAAGCAGTTAGTCATAATCTCACTATCCAAAAATGGTGCTATTCATATTTTGATGTATTGCCTTCTGGTTATTTCTTTATTTATTTTTAGTTTTAAGAAAATTATAGACTTCATTTTTTAGAACAGTTTAAAGTTTATAGTAAAATTGAGCAGCTAGGACAGCTGTTTCCCTCTGCCCTGCTTCCCTGCACATAGTTTCCCCTATTATTAACATCTTGTAACAAAGATCTTGCATTAGTGCCATATGTTTGTTACAATTAGTGAACCAATATTCATACATTATTATTAAATAAAGTCTATCATTTACTTTAAGGTTTATTCTCTGTGTCGTACAGTTCTGTGGGTTTTGACGAATGCAGGTCAGTATCCACCATTTCAGTATCCTACAGAATAGTTTCAGCATGTATCTTGTGTGCTGTCAGCCCCTACCATCGTATGCTCCTGCCTGCAGCTTTTTTTTTCTCGTTTCTTTATTTTTCATATGTGAGCCTAACACAAGCCTTCCTTTATGCTATTGTACCCTCCCTCCACATGTTTATAAACTCTCATAAACATCATGGGATACACCATCCTCTGCTTAACCATGCCCCTGATGTTGGACATTCATGTCTATGACAAGTGTTCACTTATCATATAGGATATTTTAAAATCATTTCATGGACATAGATTTCCAGGATCTAGATAGCATTCGGGGGAAAAAAATAATTTAGAAAGAAACAGCATTGTGTGGTGTCCCCCAGCACCTCCCAGACAAAAGGCTTTTGTCTGAAGGTTGGAGGCTGCGCTGTCTTGGCCTAGTGAGTGCCAGTTTCCGCGTGGCTGCCCCGCACCCTTGAGAAGGCTGTCGGGGAACAGTGCTGGCCTGGGTCTTAGCTTCCCCGCTCCTGCAGGAGGACTGGACTTCCTCATTCATTCCCTTCTTACTCTCATCCATCAGCGCCTTTAAACCGAAACCTGGAACTATGGTATTCTCTTTGGTTCTTAGAACGGGTTGGCTTAATGGGGGCAATATTAATAGCACTGGTGTCAGTGGAAGTGACCTTGAGCCACATAGGAAGATTTTGATAAAACGTGTCACTCTTGTTACCTATCAGGATCAAACTGCATCATGGAAGCTGCACACGATGACACCCTGTCTGGAAAGTTTTTGCCAGACGGCAAAAGACTGCAAGCAGAATATCCCTTCGCCATTTCTCATGTAAGTGCATGCCAGAACTAATAAGAATAATATGAGAATGAGAGGTTTTTTGTTTTCTTTTTTTTGCTGTGAAACTGATAACCATAAAATTCGGTATCTAGAGTCCTGGAGTGTAACAGCTCCTTCTCATACATTAGCTTCCATTCATTACCCCACAACAGTTCGGCATGCTGGCTGGTGTTACTGCCATGTTAAAGTGAGGAGCCTTGGTGTCTTGGGTTCCTGAGAGATGACGTTGCCATATGTGGTTCTTCACAACTATCCCACAGGCCCTCAGTTGGAATGTGGCAGAACTGGGAGCTGAATCCAGGACGGTGGTTTCCTCATCTGCTCTAGCCAGGAACAGGCCAGGCCACCCTTCTGGACACAGTCTATCCCACGTGGGGACAGATTGGCCAGCCCCAGCCCACGGGTCTCAATGCAGCCAGAGCTGCTGTGAGAAATCTTGTTTGCTTTAGCCTTTGGAGTCCTGTCTGTTCTCTGACCTCTGACCCAGAACTGTGTGTTCCAACCACTTCCCAGTCTGTTGCCCTGGCTCAAAACAAAGTGAACGAAAACTCTTTCCTCAAGCCCTGCTCTCAAACTCGAAGGCTCCGTGAAAATGAGTGGTGTGGGCATGTGGCTGGTGAGTCACTGTGGCCCTAAAATGAGCAGGAAAATAGAGGGCAGGTCTGGGCCTCACAGGGCTCTAATGGCAGGGAAGCAGGAGGGTCAGCATCAGGAGCCTGGCCTTTGGCCCACAGAGACCTGAGTCCTCCCCTTACTCCTGAGCTGTGTAACCTTAGGCAGGGAACTTACCCCTCTGGGCCTCAGTTTCCTCACCAGGAAAGCAGGGCTGATCATAGTGCATGGCTTATAGAGCAATTTTGAGGATTTCATGAACAAAAATACAAAGGTAAAGCAGTTAGCCTTCTGCCTGGCATGAGTAAGGCGTCAGGAAACTGTAGTTGTTATTATTTAGTAGCCAGGAAAATATAGAACACTCAATCTGTTGGCTCCCTGGTGTTTACAGAACTGTCAGCAAACACTTCCACATCACCAACCAGCAGGGCCATTCATCAAACACCTTTGTTTTTGTCTGTCAGGCCTCCCACTTCAAGAAGTGTCCCTGGGTTTAAGTCAGTAACCTCCTAGGCAGGGAAAGTTGCCTCATACATGTGACACGCAAGCATGTCTCTAAAGGGACAGAGGATCTGGCAGAAATCTAGACTCTCAACTTGTCTGTTTCCTGAGACACCCACAATTGGCCTCATGGAAGCAGTTGACTTCTTCCCATAGCTGGTTGTGTCTTACTTGGTCGCCTCCTCCAAGCCCAGGGCCAGCCCTGCCTGGCTGGGGGATCGTGACAGTCTTTGTTCTCATATGGCAAAGTGTTTTGAGAAGAGGGTAAGATCATTAGTTAGCTGTCAGCCTCCAGTGTGATTAGGTCATGAGTAATTCTACTAGAAAGCCAGAGCACTGGCAATTCATTTGGTCGAGAACATTTTATCTACTTGTACGGCGTAGCGAGGAAATAAATGGAACAAATTATATAAAAATCTCCGTCAACTGAACAATTCCTTACCAATCCAACAAGATGACGATGATGCCACTTTTCCTACCTGTGAGAGGTCATGTACAGACACATGCACATGCACACACCACATTATACCCCCCCGCCACAAATGGGTGCACCCTCCCTCCCCTGCCCTACATACACACTGGTGCACACATACGCGCCACACCACATTCTGTAGTTAGGAAAGGATCACGTGCAGCCTTAAGGACTGGTTTGCGTAACGGGTGCATATTTCTGCTAGTGTTTTTGTTCTTGCAGTCAGGCCTGGCCGTTGTCAGAAAGCAAACCTCAAGGACAGGACTTTTTGGACTCTGCAGCCTCTCCAGGCTGCTGCTCCACCACATGAAGTCCAGCAGGTGGCAGTGCACCCCGCGCAGACCCGGCTTGCCTGTCTTGGCCCGAGGGAGTCCGTTTGATGCGCAGTCGGGAAGTGGGTCTGCACGCACCTCGCTGCAGCTGTGGCAAACGCAAGCGATGACACACAGGCTTGACGAGGGCCTTTGTCAGAAGCAATGGGGATCTGGCGTCACCGCACAATGGAAAACAAAGTGCTTCTGCCTGGCTGGCCAGAATGCACGTTTGCTCACTATTGATGCCGGGGCATTTACAGGCAGAATGAGTTCATGTGAAATTTCAGGGTCTGCCATGACTCAGATTCACTTTCTGTAAACCAGAGTCAACATTACATTTCCCTTTACTCTGAGCCATTCCTTGAGTTTTTAGGTCACCAGTTGTTTTTGTACTAACCGAAGGGATTTGAGTATTTTTTATGCACCTTATTTTTATTATTATTTTTAGGGCATTACCAACTTGGGACGGATCTGTAGTGTGAGAGATTGTTGTCACTCTTAGCTCCAAACATAGATTGGCTTTATATATTATTTACATGTTCAGAATTATATTGTGTAGAAATTCAAGTGAAACTTGCAAAATACTTTTCTGGCAGGAAGCCCTGGAGAGGATCGTTCATGGAAACAAGGATGACGACTGTGGTAAGAAATGCAGGTGACTCGTGAGTGGGCAGGGAGTGGAAGAGAAGATGGCTGGAAGGTTTTAGCATTCAGAAAAAAAATGGAGACAACTAGAGCTGATCTGAAGATTATGGCAGAATTCAATATTGGGGCAAAGAAACAAGATGGAGGTTAGAAATTAGAAACAGCAGAGCTCCGCAGATTGGAAAGGATTTGAGCAAGAGAACAAAAAGGAGCCTGCTAATAGCACCCTGGGTTTACATCAAGAGAAGCACTTGGAGAGAATTAACTCAGGAGGAGGTAGGGGCATGGGAAACCTTTTCATCTCCAAGAGCCGGCAGGAACAGCAGCTGGCCTGAACTTGAAGGTACACCAGGTAGCTTGCCCGGGCCAGGAGAGGGTGATTCTCTTCTATGCCTCTCTCCAGTGCCCTGCTTCTGATGCTGCTCCTCTACCCGTAGTGCGGGGAAGATATATCCCTAAGAAGTTCCCTGCACCCCATTCCTTGTTCTGGCTAACTGGTCCCCTAGGAATTTTTCTCCTAATTTTCAATTCCCCTTCTCACCTGGTGAAATCTGCTCTTACTGTTCAATAAAAGTTCTTCTACCAAAATGTCTACACCACGTTGAATTTTTTGTGTTTCCTTTGTTTTTAGTTCCTGGGGAGTTTTACTTGGAAAAAAAGCCTCTGGGGACTAGATAAGGAAGGAAACCTTCCTGTGGACCCTCTTGAGCTCTGTTTTCTTTCCTGGCCTCACTGGTGTGAGCCCACTGACTGCCCTACTGATCTCTTGCTTTACTGGATTTGGGTGAGGACTGAGGAGAGGGACAGGAGGGTATTCACTGGACACTATTCAGACTAAAGGATTAGATGTCCCAGGTGAGTAAGCAAGAAAGCAAATACATAAACAAACAAAACTTCTGAACGTTTTCAATCCAAGTGGAGCAGAATTTAGCTTTTCCAGCTAAACTGCCCCACCCCTGGCACCCAGGGAAAGTGGTGCTTGTATTGTAATATGTTCTCATAGATGCATGCAATATTATGAGTAATTTTTGCCTTGTGATGTAAATTCTTTTTTCCTCACTCAGGAAAACATATTGTAGTTGGAAAAAAAAAAAAAAAGACCAAAGAATTCTGGCCAGGCGCAGTGGCTCATGTCTGTAATCCCAGCACTTTGGGAGGCTGAGACGGGTGAATCATCTGAGATCAGGAATTCGAGACCAGCCTGGCCAACATGGCGAAAACCCATCTCTACTAAAAATACAAAAATTAGCCGGGCATGGTGGCAGGTGCTTGTAATCCTGAGTAGTAGGCGGCTACTCAGGAGACTGAGGCATGAGAATTGCTTGAACCTGGGAGGCAAAAATTGCAGTGAGCCGAGACTGCACCACTCTAGCCTGGGTGGCAGAGTGGACTCAGTCTCAAAAAAAAAAAAAAAAAAATTCTGATCCTTTTTGAGTGTGTGTGTGTATGTGTTTTATGTGTGAGTGAGAGGACACAAATTTAAACTGAAACTTTGCTAAGTAATAGGTTATAACTGATCTGGATACATCAGGGTAGTGAGAACAGTAAGTCTGGAAAAGAAAACAGTTGTTACCAATACACATACACTCTCCCACACATAGAACAATGCCTGGGTCTCCTGCATTTTCATATCTGCTGAACAGGTAGCATGAATTCACATCATTTCAGTGATGGGGAAATGGAAACTCACAGAGAGCTTAACTGAATTTCCTGAGACCATGGGATGTCAGAAGGGCCACTAAATCTTTCAACTGCCAACTCATACTTTAAACTCCTGCCTCTTATCCTTTTCAAAGTGACAGGGGAAGACCAGGTACAGATCTGTAAAGTGCCTCATTCCATTTTCAGAGGAGCTGAGGTCAGGTGCCTCCTACAGTCAAGGTCTCGCCAAGAAGACCGTGGCCACATTCCTCAGTTCCCTGGCGAGTGTTTTGACACCTGGGTGCTCCTGCCTGATGAGCCCAGCATTCATGAAGCACATGTGACAAGAGGATGGCTGGAATATTGCTCAATATTTTCAGGTCGACGGCACTGGCTGCATGTAATTTGAGAGGAGTGTAGAATGTCAGCCGGACTTTTATGACGCACCCCTCTCCTCTTCCTGAGAATTGTTTGCATGTGGAGATTTCCTGCCTATATTTTTAGTGTCAAATTTTTTTGTGGTTGCTCAAGTACCTTCGGCCATGTTTTACTGGCTTACGCAGAATCCCTGATGCCCCTGATAAAACTGATGACCATCGAATGGAAAGAAGTCAGTGTGGAAAGCCCAGGAATTGTCCCATAGCTGGCCCTGTGGGTTTGCACTGATTCCTCAGAACAAGTTTGCAGATAGTTTAACTTCCAGAATTCCTGAGTTTCAGTAGTCCCCCTTCTTTATGATGAATTGGAAAAAGGGTATATTCTGGGGTAAAACAAAAGGGAATTGGGTGCAGCAAAGATCCCTAGACCATTTTTCCCAGTGGCCCATTGCTCCTTCTGCTTTTTCTATGCCAGCTGAATCTCCCCAAGCCCCACGTCTGCGGCAAAGTCTTCATGGTGAAACAGGTGAGTCACACTTTTCTGCTTCTCTGCAATTACAAATGTTATCACCTCATCTGACAGAGAGAGGGTGTTGGTTGGAAATACGCATTAGGAATTAACTCTTTGGAAACAGCAACACTGCTTTCATGAAATGAAGACTTTTTTTTAGAAAGTCTGGAGTTAAAGTTATAAAAATAAAGAGGAGTCATCTCCCTTTCCTTCTCCTACAATAATGGAAATGAAATATCAAAGTAAACGGCACCACATCCATGTCCTCAGTACATGTGACTCGCTAACCATGCCAGCCACCCCATCCCTTCTCTCCCATCTCCTTTGCTGTTCTCACTGTCTCTCAAGACCTGATTTAAAACCACCTTCACTAAGAAGTCTTCTTGTCCCCCTTCTGGTCCTTCACGGAATATTATTTTGCTTCTGAAACTTAAAAAAACAATTTTGTTCTCAGGTCATTCTCTGTGTACATCCCATTTCATCCATCCTACGGATTAGATGTTCTTCCAGGGTAGAGGTGACCCCACCTCATGTCTTTTTATTCTCCCTCTGCTTTTTATTCCCATAGGCAGTCTTCAGTATGAGACGCATCGATCTCAGATCTTATTCAATTCCAACTTGTACCAATCAAAGGCCCTCCCAGCTAAGATAAAAGCAAAGTCTCCTTCCTCCGGAGCACGTGGGAATGGCCCCCCAATAGCTGGGGCATGCAAGCTGATGAAGTTTCATCTTCCACCTCTACCCAAATATGACCTTGCTGATACCATCTCCTATTAGATGACAAATCCGGATGTTTCTATTGCATGGTTGTTATTTGCCACATGCTTCCTGGACAAGTTTCTAGGTAACCTTAATGTCTGTGCTGCTGGGGAAGGAGGAGTAGAAAATAACTCACCTCTTCAGTAAGTGGTTTTAAAAATATAACAGTGTTTAAAAGCTTTTAGAGAGCAGCTCTCCTTCCGGCTGCTCCAGCTCTGTTTGCTTTGTGATAGGAGCCCCCGTAACGCTTCGTGCTTGGCAACATCTGATGAGGACAGAAGGCAGGTTTAAAGCTGAGAAGATTGATTTTCCCTTTGTAGGGCTTTCCATGAGGGGAGTGGGAGAGAAGTCACTTGGGGAAGCAGTGGTCAGTGAGGTTTACTTCTCCATATGCTCCACATTCATGTGTAAGGCTAAACAAACGCGCTGTCTCCGCAAGCACATCCCACACCACAGAGGGGAGCAGTTTGTCCTGGAGGTCCTAAGGAGGCGACCAGCGACCTGGGGGGTAAAAGGTTGGGGCTCTTGGGGGCCTTTCCTCTCACTCTCATTTCCATCCTAAACTGGCAGGGGAAATATACTCAAATTGCCTGTGTGTTTCGATTTGATGTGGCCACACTGTGACCACTCAGGATGGCTCGGTGCTGCTGAACTCCACGGTTCACACTAGGCCCGACTGTCTAGTTTTAGAAAGTGGGAGGAGATTTCCCCTCTGCCAGGACTTGGGGTTTATGTTCCCCAGAGCATTGAGCAAGAGCCTCCTGTTTACAGAAATCTCCCTCCCCATGATTTCTTCCTGTCGGGGTAGAAGGAGAAGGGGTAGAAGGAGGAGTAGGACAGAATGTGGAGTAGATCTTGCCACTTCAGTCCCTTTGTTCTTGCCCAGCACGAGGCTACCAAGGAAAAGATACGTGGGGCGCTGGGGGCGAGGATATGTATTGGTTGTCTGAACTCTGAAAACACAATATTAAAATTGGCATTGTAAATGAAATCATTAGGTCTTCTGCATATAGTTTTATTTTTTCCAAAACTTCATAAAGCTGTCAAAAATACCTACACTATATTTTAAATGCTGTGGGCAATGTAGTTTTTTAAATTTTATTTTAAAGTGCTATTGTAATTCCTTTAAGAGATGTACACTGTCTACCTGGTTTACTTTTTGTGCAAATATGTATATATACACTATATATATATTTACACATATACACATACATGTATATATTTCAAAGTTTTTTGAAATCTAGTGCTCATACAGTATTTGGTAGTAACTAACAGCTGCTAAGTCAACCCCTAATCTTCTCAACCTCATCTGGCGTGACTTAGAGCAGAAATGGTCCAACAAGCGCAGCAAACATGTACTCACCCAAGCTGACTCCTAGGGGCATTTTGTCCACAGGTGCTTCTACCTTGGTGTGTAAACTCCATCTTACAATTTAGGATAGTTTGGTTACATAGCACCTCCTACGTCTTAAAATAAAAACATCAATGCCCATTTTATATAGTGGGTCTATGTAGGATCTAGTGAAAATATGCACTTAAGTCTTTTAGAAGACATGAGAGATGGAGGTCATACAATTCTTTTTCCATATGCGAAGAGAGTAAGTACTTAGTGTTCATCAACTCCACAAAAATGAAGATTCCAAACTACTCCAAAATTAAGGAATAAATCTTTATCATTTGGCTTTAAAGACTCTGAAAGTATTGGGTTCTATAATTGCCTTAATTGGGGTCATGCAAAGGTGGAACAATAGGAGCTGAATAGTTCATGTTAAGGCAGATCAAGGCTTGACAAGTTCCAGATTTCCAGCAGGATTTAACTCCTGAGTCACATCAGCTTGGGGTGCAAGACTCACTGGGAAGCAGGGAGTAGCAAAAATCAGTCTGCAGAACTCTAGAAAGCAGTACCTGATAAAGACCTTTAAAGTTTCCATGAATCAAAGATATTAAGATTCATTTTCTGCTACCCCATCTTCAAAATAAAAGCTATTCAAAGCCAGAACATAAATAGAAAAATTTCTCCCATGGTAACCACCTGGTTGATTAAAATATTTTTAATTTTTCCTTCTCTTCTGTGAATTGCTGCTGCCCTAAACATGTGCATGGTCTGCCTGTTAGCTTCCTAAGCACATCTGGCAAGGTGGGGGAGATGAGGAAGGGCAGCTATGGAGGTGGGCATTTGGGAGAATGTAAATGCAAGGCTGGGGACAGCTCTCACTGGAGGGTAGCATGACTGCCCAGCCAACAGCCAGATAGAATAAAGGGACAGCCCCGGCAAGTGCTCCAGAGTAGGTGGATT